ATTGGAACAGAAGGTATTTTATTGGAAGCAATCAAGCCAGGAATTACTTTAAAGTTTTCTTCTGTCATTTTTTATATCCTTCATATGCAGGGATATTGAAATTTAATGCCTCAAAATGAGTACCCTGAAGATTTCTTGGAGTATACAAAATTCGTTATGCATTCTCCTTGACTGAGAGATACAGTAATAATTCTTCAAAATATTGACTACAAAAATTCTGATCAGCATTTCGTTTATGGGGTGAAGGAAAGGAAACTCGTTTGTTCTGAAGGCATGAAACCATTGGATTGCGATCAAATTCATGACTATTCAGTCTTTCTTTGTTTATTTTGCTCAGGATCCGACGATTTTTTCACTGGATCCGGTTCGCTTGACCTGGTAAATGCAAATATGGCTTTCTATTTTATGCAAATATTCTTTTTTTGTTTGTTTTATTCAGAGGACCATCGCGTGCTGCATCAATCTCATCGCATGCTTGGATGCCTTTTCTGGTTATTGTCCATCGCATTTTTCCTATTTTCTGTTGACAATTTTGCTCTCTGTTGGGAGTTCATTTTTCTTGGGATTTCCGGTTGGGTAAATAGCACTTATTTGATCTGGAATGCATTTTAAATGATCCAATGCTATTATGCACTAATAATGGTTTTTCTTTGAAGGCATGCAACAAATAATACAGGCAGTCAGTATTCCAAGCACCAGAAAATTCCACAAGAGTTTTTTTTTAGTACTGAGCCCCAGCTTATCCTTTTCTAGACATTGAATTGTTGATCAAAGTTTATTGTTACTGACTATAACTTTAGTACTTTGAAAAAAAAAATCATTATATCATTGCAGCCCTCATCAAAAAATTGAAATGTTATGACACTATAGACAACCTTTGGGTTTTGCATTACAAAATCAAACACTCCCATTGATCCTTTTTCTGAGACATGCAAATTTTGAAGGTGAAATGCCATTTTTCCCAGTGTTTGGGTGCCCAAAAACATTTGTATAATGCTACTTTTTCAAACTGTTGGTAGGTCTTCCAGGATTGCTTTAGTACTGTATAATGCACTCCTTCCTGGTGGCACACAAAATATTATTCCCCTGCTGTGCAAAACATGTTTCTGGCTGTTAAGTTGATTGATAAAGAGTTATATTATGGACTTCATAGAATTGTGTGTGTTTAATGAGGCTTGGGACAAGTTCTGCTGCCAGTCTTTTGTACTGTAATAGGTACTGATTCTGTGGCTGTTGGCATTTTTACCTGTTGCATCTTGCAACCAGAGGTTCTCAAGGTTGCAAGTACTGTATGAGTAGCATCTGAACATGCTCAGTTTCCTCAATGTTCGCACTAGTTTAAAAAGTTCAATATTCCGTTTTTGAATTTTTACCATGTCCATCCTTGATTTTTCAAAAATTAGCATAATCAGAAATAATGCATCGCATGTGACAATATGTGTTGAGTTACATTCTCAGAGAAGCAAACTTTGTTTCTCAGCAGAAATTTCCATGCCTTTTTTATGCAAAGGGCGTCTTTTTAACTTGTAAGTATTATGTAATCTCTTTGAATTTATGTCAAGCAATCATTTTTTTCATCCAGTACACATTTTCTATTATCCAGTTCTAATAATAGCTATTTTTCTGCATGCCTTAAATAATTGTACAGTTGTTGCTTTAATAAAATGGGCGCTTGCACCTTTGAGATGATTGGAAGAAGATGTGCTATGAATATACACAGCTTAGGCCCATTTCAATTAGTTCATAGTTTTTGTGCAAGTTTTGGGAGGGAAACGAACAGTTCTCAAGCATTTAGCAGAAGACTTTGGCCTGTGGGAGGAGCATAAGAGAGTCTCCCTTGCTGAAGGAACTACATGTAGAAGTCAAACAAATGTTGAACAATTTTAACTGAGTAATTATGTGGTATTTGCATCAACTACCAGACACTGATTAAAGTGATTATAGTCTCTAGGTGACCATTTCTATAATGTACCCCTCTTTTACAATAACTAACACCAGTGCACTCAAGTTTAATCTTCTTCCAAGTTGATTTCAATCATAGCTTATGAAAGGTCTTATATTATGGAAAATGTAATGCACCATTACTTTGGAACCCACCATTCCAGAATTTCATCAAAAGATTCTTTGACAATTGCACTTCATGCTTAACTCTGGAGAAATATTGACAGTGAATTGTATTCCATAATGCCTATCCATTTCATATTACATGCTATTATATTGCATCATTGGTAAAAGACATTCTCTATAAAAATGAGGTCAACATTGACAAAATCATCAATTTACATCAAAGAACAGTATATAAGTTTGAACCACATCATGGATACTAAATCAGACTTTTGAACGGTAAAATCATGATAAACACACAATAAGAGGAAAAAGATTCCCATCAGTATATATTGAAGAAATTTGAACCATGTCCAAAGCGGTCCAAAGCTGAAAGCCTACAAGAAAAATGGGACACGATTATCAGGCAGTACCAATAATTGTTTTCCATTCCCGCGTTACGGTACTATAAACAATGGTGAAGGTGAAGAAAGAGAAGGAAAGAATATATAAGGGCATTGAGATCAGATGAACGCACAAAATGGTTAACGGTTTCCTGAGTACTGCTAGACACTCCCGGAAAATAGGGAGGACAGAAAGACAGACGCACGAATAACGCAGAGGAGAAGAATAAATGATAAGAGACGGATAATGAAAGGGAGTAACACGGTGTATAGTAACTGTATTTCCCTTACGAAATGCAGAGATCGAGAGAGATCATGGAGTGAATCGATACGGTACTGCAATAATTTACTGTTGACGGAGTCGCGACGCGGAAAACGTTCGCGGACAGATCACCAACTCCTTCCCTCTCTCGTTTCATTACGCAACCATTAACCTCTGGCCCCGTCCGCGCGCGCACGTTTTCTATACTGGCGATTCTACGCACTTCTCATTTTCAATATGTCGGCGCCCCTTGAAGCCGAGTACAGTACTTCAACCCGTTCGATCGTCGTTACAGCAGTGCACACGTTCGCGGACAGATCACCGTCTGCGGCCGCGTTGACGCGCATTAACCTCTTGACCAGTCCGCGCGTGCGCTTTCCTGTGCTGGACGATGATGCTATCAACTGATGCTAACCGGTTTGACAATCGTGTCCGCTTCGTTCATCAACTGTATTCGTACAGTACTGTACTCAGTCGCGACGACGAACTTGTTCGCGGACGGTGAGCACACCCTTCTCCCGACCCCTTGACACGCATTTGTTCGCTTCGTCTTGTCCGTTCGCACCGCGTTTTCTGTGCGAACGATGCAATTATACTCAACCCTCATCGCATCCATCACAAGAGGGCGACTACGGTAGTTTACAGTATATATACGGTGCAAGAGGGAGTGTGTGTGTGTGTGTGTCTGCGTTTGGATAATGCGTTTGCCCCGGAAATTCCTCAGGCGTCTTTCGGGGCCCTCGGTGTTGGTACCCATCCACGGTATTTCTGGCCCGCGGGGGCGACTGCGTCCTATTTCCGCCCTCTGCTGCCGAGCTGACCTACTTATATTTTCCCCACCCCCTCCACCTCCCCCACTGCACCCAAACTTGATGATGCATTCGTTGTCTTTGCGGGAGGGATGGTCCGTCGCTCAATCGCATGCGCGGGAGGAGTTAAGCATCCTTGGGCTGGGATAGCACGCGGAGGGGAGTCGTGATTTTTTTTTGCCCTTTCATTAGCGTTGTTGAGGATATTATGTATTGTGGGTGATGAAGTAGTGATTATATAGGCTTCCCTGCTGGTGTTGACCATGGGACAAGGCCGGGAATCACACTTGCTGAATGAGGGGGAAATCTTGGGGCCACTTTCTCTCCTAGGGGGTTTTTTGGAAAGAGCTTGCGTCAGCCTCCACAAATTTATGGCGCCTCATCAGGCGAATCATTTTCTCTTGGTCCCATGAGATTTCATTTCTCTTCTTGGCGCTGAAGATTTGGGAATCTGTGGAGAGGGAAAAAATTCTTTGGAGTGCTTCCATGCTGTATGGAATAAGAAAACACAAGAGCTGATGTGTTTGGAAGCCATGGGTATTTACATTTCTTGCATTATCAGCATGCACTGTTCTCAAAAGCAGTATTTTACTTCTGAAAAACTTCTGTCTTTAAACAGCTTATAGATATTTCATAGAAAATCTGCAAAGTGTTTTGCAGAATATTGGAGGAGTGCTCTTCAACACAAATTAGGCAGTAATGCATTTGCTGTTGAGACCACTCAGTTGCCTGTCATTTTCAAAAAAAAAATTGGTATAGATTGGAATGAGGAATTTTGAAGGAAGTTCAGTTCATTCAAGGATGTTGTTAAAAAGATCCTGTCTTTTTTTAAACTGTTGTAATTTTTGATGGCCAGATAACAATAAGTATTTACTCTCAAGAATAATGTTTGAATTCCACAGGCATATCAGCCTGTTCAATCAGTAATACTATCTAAGATTTCATATTGTCATTTGAAAGAAAGGCAGTGATTCATGACTATCATGAGTCAATTTTATGTGAATTTTTCAAGTTTCACCAACTTGGTTTATATAGGAATGAGGAGCTTTGAAGGAAGTTAACTTTTCTCAAGGACATTGTTCAAGATAATGTGACTTTTTAAAATATTGGTAAAAGTTGTGATGGCTAACTTACCATAAATTTCAACTTTCAAGAACTGTGTTTGAATTACACAGGCATCTCAATCAGCTGTTTGATCAGCATTACTAGCTATCTTGTTCATCATAATGCACTTACAGAGATAGACAGTGATTCATATGACTGTCATTAGTCAATTTTTGGGAATTTTTGATTTTCTTCCATCAGAATCTAACATGTCAACTCATTTGGTTGACATTTTCTTAGGAATGGAATTTAGAGGAATGAAAAGGTTGAGAAAAAGTTTTATTTTTTCCAACTAAGACAAAATGGAGCCTTGAAGCATTGTTGGAATGTCATGTGAACCTTGTTGCCAGAAATTCTACTTGTAATTGGATGGGAAGAATGTTGATGGATGGGCGGATGTGTTTTCCCTGTCTTGTTCCAGTTGGAGGAGGGACAGCAGGAGCAGTATTAGCATCAAGATTGACTGAAAATCCGGATTGGAAGGTCTTGGTCCTGGAAGCTGGTGGAGATGAGACAGAGTTGTCTGATGTGCCTGTGATTGCCCAATACATGCAACTGGGGAACCTGGACTGGCAGTTCAAGACTGAGCCCCAGCCTACTGCCTGTAGGGCTATGAAGCATTGGGTGAGCCACTGCACATGCAGCTGAAGAGAAGTTTGTGATGCACCTGCTGGACTTGTTTTATTGTGCTAATTTTCTCACCTGCAAACATGTGCCCCCTGAGGCTTTGGATCATGTTGATTCATCTGGACCAGATGGAAGCTGTGCCCCAGATTTAAGCCCATTATTTGTGCATAGCATTCATTGGATCTTTCATTTTCCCACCTGTGCATCAGTTCATGTTTAAATCTGAAAATGAGGCTGAAACAAGGATCACCAACTGCAAACCTGTTTTGACAACCCTCTTTCCTTCTACAGAGGTGCAATTATCCAAGAGGGAAAGTTCTTGGTGGGTCATCTGTGCTCAACTACATGCTTTATGTGAGAGGGAACAAGAAGGACTATGACAATTGGGCACTGCATGGAAACTATGGATGGAGTTTTGAAGAAGTGCTGCCTTACTTTAAGAAGTCTGAAGACAACCTGAACCCTTACATTGCAAAGAACAGTTGAGTGTGGTTTTCATTTTGGAGCCAGTGATGCTGTGCATCCAAGCAGAACAGTTCCAATTTTCTCCCCACTTTCATCTTGGCCATGATCTTGTTCTGAAATTTTCCTTCACCTGACACCTGTTGCTAACTTTCTATAAAGTGGAATCTCCTTTTTTTTAGACAACTGTTATTAGAGATGAGTTCCAAGTGAAGGGCAACTGTTCCTTCTGTTCCATCTCAAAGCATGTGTGATGAAATGTTTTCCTCCAACAGAGAAGTACCACAGCACAGGGGGATATTTGACTGTCACAGAGCCTCCCTACAGGTCTCCACTTGCTGTGGCTTTGGTGGCTGGGGGAGTGGAAATGGGCTATGAAAATGTGGACTTTAATGCAGAAAGACAGACAGGTTTGAAATGCTCATTAGGGACAGGATTGAATCAAATGATATTGATGACTGCTCTTTCAGGGTTTTCTTTCCCTCAAGGGACTTTGAGAAGAGGAGCCAGGTGCAGTGCAGCTAAGGCATTTCTGAGACCTGTGAGACTTAGGCCTAATCTCCATGTTTCCCTGAGGACATTTGTCCACAAGGTGGGATTGACACAATTCTTATTTTGAAGATTCATGCTACAATGTGGATGTTTTATCAATAAGGTATTGATTAATGGCCAGAAGAGAGCTTGGGGAGTCAAGTATGAAAAGAATGGAGAAGTCAGGGTTGCCAAGGCAAGGAAGGAGATTATTGTGTGTGCTGGAGGCATCAGCACCCCACCCATCTTGATGCACTCAGGCATTGGTCCCAGGCACCACCTAGAAGAAATTGGGGCATGTTTTTTCATCCTTCCCATTCTGCCTTCTTTGCTCTATTTTGTCTCTTCAAATTCAAGGTGCATGTTATTCAAGACCTGAAGGTGGGGTATAATCTTCAGGATCATATTGGCATTGGGGCAGCCACTTTTGTGGTAAAGAAACCTGTTGGATTAATCCAGCCAAGGTTTGAGAATGTGCCAACCATTCTCAAGTATGCCTTATTTGGCAAAGGTATACTTTTACAAGATTTTTTCATCTTCAGATTTCAAATTCTGAATGATGTGTTTCAGGTCCCTTGACTTCCATGGGAGGCATTGAAGGTTTAGCATTCATCAACACCAAATATGCCAATGCCTCAGAAGACTGGCCAGACATTGAATACCACTTCACATCTGGGACAGCTGCCAATGATGGTGGAAGGCAAATCAGAAGGATTCATGGGCTTAATGACAGGGTATATTTGGAATCCAGTTGCCCAGCTGACCTTAATAACCTTAATTCCAGTCTGCTCCAGGCAGTGCAAGACAATCTCATAAACTTGTTTTCTGTATGCTGGAAGCAGAAAAGACAGGATATCATGAGTTACTTCTGATCCCAATACAGACTGTTAATTTAAATATTATTCAGTATTTTGAAAATGAGAATTTTTGTCCTATATCAATTTTTATGTACAGTACACACATTTGGACCCTGAGATGCAAATATATTTGGTGCATTAGCCTTGTACCTAAGTCAGAATTTCTGCATGTCAGACCTTATCTTGCCACATACTTCAATTTGAATATTTTTAATTAGTTCTCCCATTGATGAATAGTTCAGAAAAATGCCATCAATAAATTAAATTAATTTTTTTTATAAATTTCAAAATAAACAAAATAAATGTACAAAAGAAAATATACAGAATCTGATCTTCTGGCATCAGAAGGAGCTCAAGAAGAAAAAAAGCATGTCATTCTATACTGAGCACACATGATGGAAAATTTGAATGAGGAAGCGCAAAATTAGCCTGCTTTTGATTATGAATTAGAGTAATTATATAATAGAATCCTTGGAAGAATGTCCAACTCTGCAGTTACTGTCCAGATTATGGGGGCAGCTTTTTTGAAATCTAACTCTACCTAACTTTTTCTAATTCCAAGTGTCCCTAAGTTGAATGGTCTAAAATTTGGGTTTCTGTATTTTGGGGTCTCACTGTATTTCAATTCAAGTCCAGCAAAAGTTGATCCTTTCTGGATCAAAGATTTTCTGGTGTTGCTTATTTGACTCTTAAAGTGAACAGTCCTTGGAGTCTCTGTTTGAGATGTTTCTCAATTTTACAGACATGGCATGAATACTTCAAACCAATTGCATTCAGAGACACCTGGTCAGCTTTCCCAACACTACTCAGGCCCAAGAGTAGGGGTCTGATCCGCCTGCGGAGTAAAAATGTCCATGATTACCCATTGATTTACCACAACTACCTCACACATCCAGAAGATGTGGCAAGGCTTGTGGAAGGTGAGTGCCATTATTTGTTTCAACAAGGGAAAGTTACTGAAATTGTCTTGGGTGCAGGGTTGAAGATGTCAGTGGTCTTGTCAGAAACAAAGGCTTTCCTGAAGCTGGGCAGTGCTTTCTATGACAAGATGTTCCCTGGTTGTGAACACACCCAGTTCTTCACTGATGCTTACTTTGAGTGCCTTGCAAGGCACTACACTGAGACTATCTATCATTTTTCTGGGACTGCAAAAATGGGCCCATATTGGGACCCTGATGCAGTTGTAGACCCTGAGTTAAGGTGGGTTGAAGATTCAATGCAATTGAATTGCTGATGCATTGAAAGTCCTTGTTTTTTGGGCAGAGTTTATGGTATTCAGGACCTGAGGGTTGTGGATTGCTCAATCTTCCCTGAGATCCCCTCAGGGAACACAAATGCTCCAGTGATCATGACAGCAGAGAAGGCAGCTGACATGATCAAGGTCAGATGGGGCTACACCAAGGACATAATTGATATTCATCACTCAAGTATAGGAGAAGACACAGGTTATGGTCATAAAAGAGGTTGAGCAGTTCACTTCACTGCTGCCATCTATACTTGCCTGTTGTTATTGTGCTTGTTTTTGTTGTGTACAGATATTGTGCTTGTTTACTGCAGCTATTTGTTTACCTTGGCAGCTGAAGTTTTAGAGCTCCATCAAAAGTGCCAGAGTTTCTTTCTCCTCTTGTGCCAAATCCTTGTTTGTTTTGTTGGTGTATCAGGGGTTGCCAATTTATGGGTGGAGGGTCAGTGGGAACTAGTCAAGAATACATCTACCTACACAAAAAGTGCAGCCAAGTGGTTAGCAGTTAGTCTACAAAAAAAGAATTGAAGAGTGAATCATGTGAGGGTATTTTTAATTCAGGCTTGGATTTTTGCATCAATTTGTTATCCGTGTTTTGTTATTCTCTGCTTAACCCAAAACAGTTTTTTTTCTACCTTAGATTGTCTCAATTGATTCACTCAAGTAACTCTGCAGTTATTCAGTTTCTCATTCAGCATTTTACCAAAGCATTATTGATGCATAACTTCAGTTTGAATCTTCAACATCCTTCCTGAGTCAAATTCAATGAGAAGAAAATGTCCAACATCAAGGGACAAGGAGGTAGAAGAGGAGAATGTGGCATCAATTGGTCAGTTATCAGGGAATGTGAGTGGGGACCCCAACAGTCCATGTACTTTTTTTTTTCCTAGTTACCAAGTGGGTCTCCTTGTGAAAAAAATGAAAATATTTTGCACTGCGATTCATGTCTTCACTGCTCTGCCTTAAGTATTTTTATATAACAATGTTTTGATGGAAAAGAATACACCATGTGAAATGAAGCAAAAAAGGTCATTCAAATTTATTTCTCAAAGCACTTGTAAGATTCCAAAAAGCCCCCTTTTAGTGTTAGCCTCACCACCTTGCCAATAAATCTACTACTTAAAAAAAAAGAATTCAGTTCATTCACTCAATGGCACCAAAATAGTACAGGGGTACTCCACCAGGGTTCCAACTTGATGGTGATACACTGGTTATCACTAGGACCTGGTGGGAATCCCATAAGGTGTATCCATCCACTTATTGTAAGAATGCCACTTACAACAGGGAAATACTTGGTTAAGTAGAGCAGTTCTTTTTGATTCTATTCCAGCACTTGTAAAAATACATTAAAAGTTGTTCATCAGCTTCCTTGTCCACAGCAGCTATAACTGAACCTTTTTATCCAGAATGCATGGAAGCAAGCCTACAAATTACCAATTTCCTGCACAGTCAATGTCCCAGAATATTGGATGCAGGGATAGAATCAAAAGCAACCAGAAGAGCTATCACTTGAGCAAAAAGTTTTCATTAGTAAGAGCTATAGAAAGCATGTCCATATTGTCAGTTCATCATTGCCAAAAAAATGGACGGAGAGAGAGGGAGAGAGAACAAAACATCAAGGCACATTGATGAACACAAGGGCAAGCTCAGCTTGAGGGCACTGGCAAGTAGTACTTGTGTCCCTTGACATCATCATGAGCATACTTGTAGGGGGTCTTTTGGGTGTTCAAGAGCCCAGCTGGACACTGGCGCAGGTTGAACTCCTCCTTGTAGGCAGTGGCTGTGGTGCCCTTGGCCACTGCTGCTGCTGGCAGGGGTTCAAACAAGTTTGTGCTCTTGGGACGGATTGGTTTCACCCTTTCAGTCATCTTGAAGTTGCCATAGTCCTTCCTTGCCTGGTCCCCTTCAACCTTGTAGCTGGAGGATGTGATGGTGGAGCTGGATTGCTGCTGCTGCTGTTGCTGCTGCTGAGCCACTGTCCTTGCATTGGAGGACCATTTCTGGAATGCATCTGCACTTGAGGACCTCCCATGGGACCTTGAAGACACCCTGAAAGAAATAAAAGCAAATCAATTGCAAAACTCTGTTGATTGCCTTGGCTTTGATTGTGTATTTGACATTAAATTGATCCAATTTGAAATGAATGAGGGAAAATGATAGTACCTCTGCACTGCTCATTTGAGTCCTTATATTTTCATTTGATGAGAATAAATTAGGCTTGAAATTATTTCTTTTTGTTATTTTTCTTTACTTTCTGCATCAATCAAATATATTATCAATTTAAGATTTCAAACCAGCATTTGTGATCTGTGGTCAGATCAGGAAATGTCAGCGCTACTGTGTCCGGTCATCATTTGTTAAATGTATTTATTCCATTGAATATGGATACAGGTGGTGCCCATCAATTTGACCCTAATCCATTGCCAGGTAAGGGTTGAATTGAAAAGCAGTCAAATTTCAAGACAATGTCAAATTTGATCTTTTCTGAATCACTTCGGCATTTTGAGTCTCTCTTCACGGGTAAGGAGGTCAAATTGAAAGTTGAATTCCTGGAAAATTTGACCAATGAATTGGAGGATGGTTGAATTGTGGAGCATTAAATTGCAAGGTACCACCTGCATCTAGATATATGATATAATAGACAGAAGTTGCACATGGACAACATATAGATAAAAATACAGTGGCAATTATTTATTTTATTTTTTTTCAAATGGGGACAAAACCCTTGTCTGGTTGCACATACCCATACACATCTTGCTGGGTGGTGGAGGTGCTGGTGGTGACTTCTCTTGAAACTCCACTGGAGAACCCAGAGTCTGCACCAGTCCTCATGGTGGTCCACACACCAGACTCCTGACCTTGTCTGCCTGATGAAAGACTCCTGTCCATGCCAGACTTGATAATTCTCTGCTTGGCCTCAAAAGTTCCAGAATGGTTGCTGCTCAAGTCTTCCCTGCTTGAGGTTTCAAACTCATACCTATGGAATGAATGAGTCACATAAGATCAGTTGAACATATTTTGCATCCATCAATAATTGCCAATATTTTACTAATTTGGTCCATTATTCAATCACCTCCCACTCTGTTTGACCACAGCCTGAGGAATGTTCCATTTTTTGCGCTCAGTCTTTCTTTCACCAGCTGTTGCTTGTTGTTGATAAGCATTTGAGGTTGAAGAAGCTTCTTGGTATTGATAATAGTTGGCTGATGAAAGGTCAGCTCTGGACTTGCTCATTTGTTGTTTTGATTCTTCTCTGACTATCTGAGGAGTTGGAGTGGAGACAATGTCAGTCTGGGTCTTCCTGAAGTCCATGGTGCTCTCAGACTTGAGAGCCTTGCTTTGAACAGTCACATCCTTGGAAGATGACATTTGTTGGGTGGTTTGCTGTTCTAATTTGGTCTTCTGAACACTGGGTTTACCAGCAGTTGGTGTCTCCCTCCTGAAATCCATGCTGCCTTCCATCTTGAGATTATCTGGTTGTTTCTTGGAGACAGTCCTTTCCCCAGGAGAATAAGAGTCCTTTGATTTGAATTCCATTTGACCCTCAGATTTGAGGTTGTCTTGGTGTTTGACCATGGAGGCTTTTCCAGAAGGTGAGTATTCCTGGGGTGAGCCAAAGTCCATGGAGCCCTCTGACTTGAGATTGTCTGGATGTCTCTTGACTGGGGCTCTGCCACCTGGTGTAACCTCCTGCTTGGTCCCAAAGTCCATGGAACCTTCTGACTTTAGGTTGTCTGGATGCCTTGTAACTGGGGCTCTGCCACCTGGTGTAATCTCCTGCTTGGTCCCAAAGTCCATGGAACCCTCTGACTTTAGGTTGTCTGGATGCCTTGTAACTGGGGCTCTGCCACCTGGAGTGAGTTCCTGCTTGGTCCCAAAGTCCATGGTACCCTCAACTTTCAGATTATCTGGGTGCTTCTTCATGGGAGACCTGCCTCCAGGAGCCCATTTAGACTTTGGTCCAAAGTCCATTGAGCCCTCTGGTCTCAAATTGTCAGGGTGTCTCTTGACAGGGGCTCTGCCTCCTGGCTCCCTTTGCTCAGGACTTGTTTTGAATTCCATTGAACCCTCAAGTTTGAGGTTGTCAGGATGCTTCTTGATCTCTGCTCTCAAACCAGGCTGTATTCTTTGCTTCTGTTGCTGGAAATCCATTGAGCCTTCCATTTTCAAGTTGTCTTCATGCTTTTGAACAATCACTCTTTCACCCTTTACCAGTTCCATGGTGTTTGTGGTCTGGAAACTCTGCTCTCCTTCCAGACTGAGGTTGTCTTTGATATGCACCTGGTGAGACCTGTTGCTTGGGGTGCCAGAAAAGGATGTTGCATTGGTTGTTTCCAGATGGTGGCTGCCCTCTATCTTGAGGTTGTCTTCCTGCTTCTTCACTGAGGCCCTCTGACCCATCATGTACCCCCTGAACTCCTGTTGGTTGGTTGATTCCATGGTTGTCTGCTGTCCCTCCAATGTGAGCTCATCTTTTGGTTTGATTACTTTTGGTCTTCCTGCACTTGTCTGAAAGTATATACAGTACATGAGAATATTGCCACAAAAATTGAAGGCAGCAATATTTCTTTCAAACTCTCAGTATAGCAGACATATGATGACAGCGTGATCATCATGAACGTGCAATTATAAACTATCTACAAATTTCTGCATGAGAATCTTGATTTTTTACATACAAGGGCTAATACTTATCCCAAATCTCATTTTCAAAATGGCCATTCCCCAAAAATTCCTTCACAATAAAAGTAGAGCAGGAATTTGATGATACATTTGGTTTTGGTCACTCAATGAATTTTACAAATGGAAAAAACCTGTGTAAAACATTTGCCACATTATGTCAAGATGAACTGATGGCTTATGACCATTTGAATTGATAACATTGGAAGCTTACAATTTACTTTTCAAATAACAAAAAAGCTTCTAATCTTCAGAAATGCTCTTTCCAAATGCATCTGGTTTTCTCAAAAATAAACTATGAACTTTGAATAAAGCAACAGGGGCAATGTGGGATGATGGGATGATATACACACAATGTTTTAAATGACACAGTTATTTCAATGGTATATTTAGCACTGGTTCTACAGTTGTAGACATTAATTCAATTTGAAAATATACATTTATTAACAAAATTGAAAACCATTCCATTAAAGCTATTGGTGAATAACCTTCTTCTGATGATTCTCTTCATACTATTTATTCTCAAGATATCATTATGAAATATCACTGTGAGCCCCTTTCATTAAAAAATTAATAAAAGAAATTTACCATTTTTGTATATGCATCAGAACTCTTCTCAAAGTTTATTTCTCCAGTGGAAACATGGAGGTTGTCAGCATGGTGCTGGACTTGCATCCTTTCTCCCTTGGTGGTGGAAAACTCCTCAGTGGACTTCCTGTAAAGGTGGAGTTCACCTTCTTGTGTTAGGTTACTGCCAAGTTTTGTTGCCTTCTGGGGTGGTGATGGAGAGACTGGTTGGAAATCCACTTGCTTTGATGTTGTCAGCTCCAGATCTCCATCAAGAGTGAGGTGATCCTCATGTCTCTTGATTTCAGCTTTCTCACCCTTGGCCATGGCCACAAATGACTCTTTGAAACTGGTTGATCCTTCAAACTTGACAGTCTTCTCTGGGACCTTTAGATAAGTCAGCTGTCTTTGTGGCTTTGGGCGCTCTGTTGGTGAGTATGAGTACTCTTCATTGGTGGTGTGGAAATCCATGGTGCCTTCAAGGGCCATGTTGTCTTGTTGCTTGGAAATTTGCTGGTGTTCTGCAGAGGTTGCCTTGTATTCCTCTGCCTGCCTCCTGGTGAACTCATGGCTGCCTTCAAGTTTCAAGTTGTCCTGTCTTGTGACCTTGGTGACAGTAGATGCCTTTTGGGTGGTCTGGAAAGAAATCATGGTCAGTATAACAATTATTTTCAGAAATTATGTGCATGTCAGAGTTCACTTCATATTTAAGATGCCAGAAGAAAGGAGTTTCTTGAGTACTGCAATTTATCTTGGTCAGTAGGATATATTATGCGCCAGTTCCTGGAGAAAACCTGTTTTTTAAACCTTGCTCATGACTGAATAACATAAATTTGATTATATGTGGCAATGTAATTGGTATGAAGGGAAGTGGCAACATATTTTGAAGCAAACTTACAGAGTAGTCATCTCTTCTCTGAAGATCCATTGTCCCCTCAAGGTGCAAATTATCAGTGGTTCTTTTGACTGCAACTCTCTCTCCTTGTGGGAAACCCATTTTCTCAGGAAACTCCATGGTTCCTTCAGGTTTGAGATTGTCACTAAGCTTGGATGGCACAGATCTTGGAACAGGCTGATACCCTTCTTTGGATGGAAACTCCATTTTTCCTTCTGGAGAAAGGTTGTCTCCATGTGTAACAGGCTTGGCTTTTTGTCCAGGGGTGTATTGAGACTTCTCTGGAAATTCCATGGAGCCCTCTGGTCTCAAGTTATCTTGTACCTTGGATTGTCTTGGTCTTTCCCCTGGTTGGTAACCTTCTTTGCCTGGGAATTCCATTTGTCCTTCAGGTCTCAAATTATCAGGGTGTTCAGTTCTTGGAGCTCTCTCACCTGGAGCATAAGATTCTTTGCTTGGATACAAGATCTTCCCACTGGTCTGTAAGTTGTCTGGATGTTTCACAGGCTGAGACCTCTGTCCAGGAGTGTATGCTTCCTTTTCTGGGTAGTAGTGAACACCCTCTGCATGGAGATTGTCTGTTGCTTTCTTTGCTGGCAGTCTCTCCCCCACTTGGAAACCTTCCTTTGCTGGGAAGTCCATGGCTCCTTCAGGCCTCAGATTGTCAACCAATTTGGATGGTTGAGATCTTTTCACAGGTGTGTATCCTTCCTTCTCTGGGAACTCCATTTTACCTTCAGGAACAAGGTTGTCTCCATATGCCACAGGTTTAGCCTTTTCTCCAGGAATGTATTGTCCTTTCTCTGGAAACTCAAAGGAACCTTCTGGTTTGAGCTGATCTTGCATTTTAGTGGGTTTAGCCCTTTGAACAGGTTGATAGGTGTCTTTTTGGGGAAACTCCATTTGTCCTTCTGGTCTGAGATTGTCATGGTGTTCTGCCTTTGGCATTCTCTCCCCAGGTGAATAAGATTCTTTGCTAGGATACAAGATTTTCCCACCAGTTTGAAGATTGTCTGGGTGTTTCACAGGCATAGACTTGCTTCCTGGGGTATAGGTTTCCTTTTGTGGATAGTAGTGAGCACCCTCTGCTTGCAAGTTGTCAGGCATCTTTTTCACTGTGGCTCTTTCTCCTGGCTGATACTGCTGCTTTTGGGGGAAGTCAAAAGATCCTTCTTGGTACAGGTTCCCTTGTGGTTTGAATGGCTGGGACCTTCTGGTTGGGTTGTATTGCAGGGTATCTTGATTTGTTGTGTGGAAATCCATGGGTTCCCTGGCCAAGTCCAAGTTGGTCAAGTGATGTTTCACAGGACTTCTTTGTGCTTGCCTTGTGATGTACTCTGCTTTGCTGGTGGTTTCCAGGTTCATTTCCCCAATGATCCTCAGGTTGTCACCATGATGCACCCTTCTCACAGGAGTGGATTGGATTGGTTGATATCCCTGATCTCTGGCAAAGTCCATTGCTCCTTCCATCACCAAGTTGGACTTTTGTCTTATTGGCTTTGGCCTGACATCTCCATAGACAATTGGGTAAAGATTCTTCCTGACAAGGTGCTGTTCTCCCTCAAGGATCAAGTTGTCATGTCTCTTGACAACCTCCTGAGACTTTTTAGCAGAGTAGCCTTTGAATGTTGCCTGATTTGTGCTGAGAAGGTCTGTTTGTTCTGAGCCAATGTAGATGTTGCTGGGATGAACTTTGATAGCTGCACGCTCTCCAGTGCCTAGTCCATGATACTCTTGAATACTCTTTTTGTAATCCTGTAAAAGTATGTAAATCATTTTAATCTGGCAGTCCAGGGCTTCAAATTATCACTCAGTTTGAAAATTAAAATTTATCAAGACATTGTAGAACTCCTCCATAGGTATACTTTACATTATTCATATTGGTCAAGCATCATTTGATTTTAGTCAATGATGAGTCTTTTGTGTTATTTTTTGAAGAAAATGCTTGGTCACATTCTGTCTGAAGATTACATAAGTAGATTATTAACTCACATTCCACTTATCAGATGATGTACAAAAAGTATTTCAGTTTTAAACCTGTGAAGTGTGCCAGAGGACCTTTCTTTTGCTCAGATACGTATACTGAGCAAAGGATATATTCAACCCATGATTGTAATTACTTTTCATTGTCATCATATGCTTGCTAATGCTTCAATCTTATTAATACTTGGGGAATTGCTGAAGGTTAGCTTATGAATGGCTGACATTTTTAGTTGATCATATAAATAATTTGTTTATATGACAAATGCATGGTTAGACTGAAAATCTTTCCTGAAGTTCATATATTGTTCCAAAGTAAATTTCCATGCACATTGCCATTTACAGTATCCATGAACTGAAAAAATACTGTCACTGTAGCAAATTTACAATGCCTGGATATGGATTTCATTTCAACTGCACAATTTTTACTCACGTAGAACTGGCCTCTGCCTTCAGTGATATTTTCCAAACTCTTAGGTCTGTAGAGAGTCCTGGACACCTCATGAGGCTGGAAATCAGCTTTCTGAGAAGAGTATCCTTGGAATGTCCCTTCAGGCCTTAGATGGTCTGCATGTCTCACAGGGACCTGCCTTTGTCCAGGATAAAATGGAGGCTTTTTGGGATATTCTACCATGCCTTCCATGTGCAAATGGTCCAAGTGTTTCACAGTTGGTATCCTCTCTCCAAAAGCAAAAGTTGATGCTTCAGGGTACTCAATGACTCCCTCAGGCTTCAGATGGTCTGGATGGTATGTGGGTTGAGGCCTCTGAGCAGGGATATACTGTTGCTTCTCTGGGAATTCCATGACACCTTGGGGTCTCAGGTTGTCTGCATGCTGGGGCCTTGGCATCCTTTCAGCAGGAACATAGCCAGGTTTTTCAGGGAACTCCATCTTCCCATGGGACAGTAAATTGTCTTGGGGTCTCACTTGGCCACTGCGTTCACCTGGACTGTATTTAGGCTTGGTTGGGTACTCCACCCCACCCTCAACTCTCAAGTTGTCAGCATGTCTCACTGGCAGTTGTCTAGGCTGAGCAGCATAGTATTCTTTGTGTGGAAATTCCATAGTGCCTTGGGGTCTCAGGGAGTCCTCATGTTTCACTATGTCTGCTCTTTGCCCAGGTGAGTAGAAAGGCTTTGATGGGTATTCCATGGCACCCTCAGGCATCAAGTTGTCTTGCAGTTTCACAGGCCTTTGTCTTTGTCCTGGCTGGTAGCCTGATTTTTCAGGGAACTCAATGGTTCCCTCAGTGGTCAAGTTATCCCTTCTGATGACCTTTTTCTCGTGGAGATCATCTGGCTTCCAGTTTGGAGACCTCTGTAGGGTTTGGTTGGATGTTGTGGCAAAGTCCATACTGCCTTCCATCTTTAAATGATCATCCTGCTTCTTCACCTCCCAACGTTCCCCCTTTTGAAACTGGGAATAGTTCAGTTGGTTGACTGTTTGTAACTCCATTTCTCCTTCCAAGGCCAGAGATTCAGTCAAGTGCTTTACTGGTTCTCTCTTGAGTGAAATAAATTCCAGCTTTTGTTTGAACATTGAATGCTCTCCTTCTGGTCTTAGGTTGTCAACAGGTTTAACCATCTCTGCTTTTGGTCCACTAGAATAAATGGCTTTTTCTGGATAGTCCATGGAACCCTCTGGTCTGAGGTGGTCTTGATGTTTCACAATAGGTGCCCTTTCTCCAGGAGAGTATCCTGTATGTTGTGGATACTCAATGGAACCTTCAGGTCTCAAATGGTCAGGGTGCTGGACTCTTGGGGCTCTTTCACCAGGGGCATACCCAGCTTTTGATGGGTATTCCATGGTACCCTCAGGTTTCAGGTGATCAGGATGTTTCACAACTACTGCTCTTTCACCAGGACCATAGCTTGATTTTTCTGGGAAGTTCATGACTCCTTCAGACTTGAGATTGTCAGGTTGCTTGAATCTTTGAGGCCTTTCCCCAACTGCATAATGTTCTTTGGAAGGATATTCAACATTTCCTTCTGGCCTCAAGTGGTCTGGGTGCCTGATAATTTCAGCTCTATCACCTGGAGCATACCCTTGTTTTGTTGGGTACTCCGTGATTCCTTCAGGCCTCAGATTGTCCTGCTGCTTCACCTTTGCTGGCCTTTGAGCTGGAGAGTAACCAGCTTTCTCTGGGTATTCCACAGTGCCCTCAGGTTTCAAATGATCAGGATGCCTCACAACATCTGCTCTTTGGCCTGGGCCATATCTTTGCTTCTCAGGGTACTCAATATTTCCCTCTGGTCTGAGGTTGTCCTGTTGCTTTACCATTTTGGTTCTCTCAGCAGGTGAGAATGTTCCTTTCTCTGGGTACTGCATTTCTCCTTCTGGTTTGAGATGGTCAGGATGTCTGACAACAGCAGCTCTTTCACCAGGACCATAACCCTGTCTGTCTGGATATTCAACAACACCTTCTGGTCTCAGGTTGTCTGGTTGTTTCACTTTTGTGGCTCTGTCACCTGGAGAATATGTTCCTTTTTCTGGGTATTGAATAAACCCTTCTGGTTTCAGATGGTCAGGATGTCTGATCACTGCTGCTCTTTCTCCAGGACCATAAAGCTGCTTTTCAGGATATTCAACAAAACCTTCTGGCCTGAGATTGTCTTGTTGTTTCACTTTCACTGGTCTGTCTCCTGGTTGGTAACCTTCCTTGAGAGGATATTCCATTGCTCCTTCAGGTTTAAGGTGATCAGGATGCTTGACCACAGGTGCTCTATCACCAGGTCCATAGCTATCTCTGCTTGGATACTGCATTTGTCCTTCTGGCCTCAAGTTGTCCACTTGAGATATTCCATTGCTCCTTCCGGTTTAAGGTGATCAGGATGCTTGACCACAGGTGCTCTATCACCAGGTCCATAGCTATCTCTGCTTGGATACTGCATTTGTCCTTCTGGCCTCAAGTTGTCCACTTGTCTGAATCTTTGAGGTCTTTCACCTGGTGAATACTCCAGTTTCTGGGGATACTCAACAACCCCCTCCGGCTTCAGATGGTCAGGGTGTTTAACTATGGTTGCTCTTTCACCAGGGCCATAACCTTGCTTCTCAGGATATTCAACAACACCCTCAGGTCTCAGGTTGTCTGGTTGCTTAACTTGTGTTGCTCTTAATCCTGGAGCATAACCATCTTTTTGGGGGTATTCAACAACTCCTTCTGGCTTGAGATGATCAGGATGTTTGACTACAGCTGCTCTGTCACCAGGGCCATAGGGTTCTTTCTGTGGATACTCCATGAGTCCCTCAGTTTTCAAGTTGTCATCAGGTTTTATCCTTGGAGCTCTCTCACCAGGTGCATAAGTACCTTTCTGAGGATACTCCATGTTTCCTTCTGGCTTGAGGTGATCAGGGTGTTTTACAATAGCTGCTCTTTCACCAGGACCATACCGTTGCTTGTCTGGATATTCAACAACACCTTCTGGTCTGAGATTGTCAGATATTCCATTGCTCCTTCAGGTTTAAGGTGATCAGGATGCTTGACCACAGGTGCTCTATCACCAGGTCCATAGCTATCTCTGCTTGGATACTGCATTTGTCCTTCTGGCCTCAAGTTGTCCACTTGCCTGAATCTTTGAGGTCTTTCACCTGGTGAATACTCCAGTTTCTGGGGATACTCAACAACCCCCTCCGGCTTTAGATGGTCAGGGTGTTTAACTATGGTTGCTCTTTCACCAGGGCCATAACCTTGCTTCTCAGGATATTCAACAACACCCTCAGGTCTCAGGTTGTCTGGTTGCTTAACTTGTGTTGCTCTTGATCCTGGAGCATAACCATCTTTTTGGGGGTATTCAACAACTCCTTCTGGCTTGAGATGATCAGGATGTTTGACTACAGCTGCTCTGTCACCAGGCCCATAGGGTTCTTTCTGTGGATACTCCATGAGTCCCTCAGTTTTCAAGTTGTCATCAGGTTTTATCCTTGGAGCTCTCTCACCAGGTGCATAAGTACCTTTCTGAGGATACTCCATGTTTCCTTCTGGCTTGAGGTGATCAGGGTGTTTTACAATAGCTGCTCTTTCACCAGGACCATAACGTTGCTTGTCTGGATATTCAACAACACCTTCTGGTCTGAGATTGTCATGGTGCTTCACTTTGGGTGCTCGGTCACCGGGAGAATAACCTTTTTGTGGATAAACCATGTCTCCTTCTGGTTTCAAGTGATCAGGATGCTTGACAATGGCTGCTCTGTCACCAGGACCATACATGTCTCTTTGTGGATATTCCATTTGTCCTTCTGTTTTCAAGTTATCCTGAGGTTTAACTTTTGGAACTCGCACCCCTGGTGCATAAGCATCTTTCTGAGGATACTCCATGCTTCCCTCAGGTTTGAGATGGTCAGGTTGTCTGACAGTAGCAGCCCTTTCACCAGGACCATAGCCTTGTCTGTCTGGGTATTCAACAACACCTTCTGGTCTCAGATTGTCTTGTTGTTTCACTTTCACAGCTCTGTCACCTGGAGAATAAGTTCCTTTTTCTGGATACTGCATTAATCCTTCTGGTTTGAGATGGTCAGGATGTCTAATCACTGCTGCTCTTTCACCAGGACCATAAAGCTGTTTTTCAGGATATTCAACAAAACCTTCTGGCTTGAGATTGTCCTGTTGTTTAATTCTTGCTGGTCTGTCTCCTGGTTGGTAACCTTCCTTGAGAGGATATTCCATTGCTCCTTCTGGTTTAAGGTGGTCAAGATGTTTGACAATAGGTGCTCTTTCACCTGGACCATACCCTTGCTTTTCTGGATATTCAACAAAACCCTCAGGTCTCAGGTTATCTGGTTGTTTAACCTTTTCTGCTCTTAGTCCTGGAGCATAGCCTGTTTTTTGAGGATACTCAACAACTCCTTCTGGTCTGAGGTGATCAGGATGCTTGACAACAGGTGCTCTGTCCCCAGGTCCATAGCTATCTCTGCTTGGATACTGCATTTGTCCTTCTGGCCTCAAGTTGTCCTCTTGTCTGAATCTTTGAGGTCTTTCACCTGGTGAATACCCCAGTTTCTGGGGATACTCAACAACCCCCTCTGGCTTCAGATGGTCAGGGTGTTTAACTATGGTTGCTCTTTCACCAGGGCCATAACCTTGCTTCTCAGGATATTCAACAACACCCTCAGGTCTCAGGTTGTCTGGTTGCTTAACTTGTGTTGCTCTCAATCCTGGAGCATAACCATCTTTCTGGGGGTATTCAACAACTCCTTCTGGCTTGAGATGATCAGGATGTTTGACTACAGCTGCTCTGTCACCAGGCCCATAGGGTTGTTTTTGTGGATACTCCATGAGTCCCTCAGTTTTCAAGTTGTCATCAGGTTTTATCCTTGGAGCTCTCTCACCAGGTGCATAAGTACCTTTCTGAGGATACTCCATGTTTCCTTCTGGCTTGAGGTGATCAGGGTGTTTTACAATAGCTGCTCTTTCACCAGGACCATACCGTTGCTTGTCTGGATATTCAACAACACCTTCTGGTCTGAGATTGTCTTCTTGTCTAACTCTTGTGGGCCTTTCACCTGGAGTATATTTTGCATGAATTGGATAATCCACACTGCCTTCTGGTCTGAGATGGTCTTCATGCTTCACCACCACTGCTTTTTCTCCTGGTCCATAGACTTGCTTTTCAGGGTATTCCACTTTCCCTTCAGTCTTCAAATTGTCTTCATGAATAACTTTGACTGACCTTTCACCAGCTCTGTAGACTTCTTGCTTGTAAAACTCCATGGTTCCCTCTGTTCTCAAATGGTCTGCATGTTTGACTACAGTGGTTCTCTCCCCTTGAGAAAATCCTTGCTTCTCAGGGTATTCAACTTTTCCTTCTGGTTTAAGATTGTCTTGTTGTTTCACCTTCTGAGCCCTTTCTCCAGGACTGTAGCCAACTTTTTCTGGGTAAGAAACATTTCCTTCTGGTTTGAGGTGGTCTGGATGCCTAACAACTGCAGCTCTTTGTCCAGGCTCATACCCTTGCTTCTCTGGGAATGTCATGCCTCCTTCGGGGTACAGGTTGTCTTGTTGTCTGACTCTTTGTGGTCTTTCTCCAGGGCTGTAATCAGCTTTTGAAGGGTAATCAACACTTCCCTCTGGTCTGAGGTGATCAGCATGTTTAACCCTTGGGGCTCTGTCACCAGGAGCATATTCACCTCTCTGAGGATAAGACATGTCTCCTTCAGGTCTCAAATGGTCAGGGTGTTTTACCACTGGTGCTCGTTCTCCTGGTCCATATCCCGCTTTAGTTGGATAGTCCATTGTACCTTCAGGTTTCAGATTATCTGGATGAAGAATCTTTTGTGCTCTTGCTCCAGCTGTATACTGATCTTTTTTGTAAAAGTCCATGCTGCCTTCTGATTTCAGATGGTCTGCATGCTTGACAATGGTTGTTCTCTCTGCAGCAGTATATGTTAACTTGTCAGGGTATTCAACAGTTCCTTCTGTTCTTAGTTGATCAGGATGGAGAGCCCTTGGGTACCTTTCACCAGGTCTGTATCCTTCTTTCTGTGGGTATTCCATGCCTCCTTCTGGTTTGAGGTGGTCTGGGTGTTTTACTACTTGAGCCCTATCACCAGGGGAATAACCAGATTTCTGTGGGTATTCAACATCACCTTCAGGTCTCAAGTTGTCAGCATGAAAAACTTTGGTTGCTCTTTCACCAGCTGTGTACTGTTCCTTTTTGTAGAAATCCATATTTCCTTCTGTCTTGAGATTGTCAGCATGCTTGATGATTGTTGACCTCTCTGAGGTGGTGTAAGAGAGTTTGTCTGGATAGTCTACAGAACCTTCAGGTTTCAAATGGTCTGGATGCTGCAGAATATGTGCTCTTTCACCAGGTTTGTAGCCTTCTTTTTGGGGATATTGCATTGCACCTTCAGGCTTCAAGTGGTCTGGATGTTTTACTGCTGTTGCTCTTTCCCCAGGTCCATATCTTTGCTTTTCTGGGTAATCCACGGTTCCCTCAGATTTCAGATTGTCAGGATGGAGGACCCTTGTTGCTCTCTCTCCAGCTATGTATTGCTCTTTTGGGATGAATTCCATATTTCCTTCCATCCTAAGGGTGTCTGCATGTTTGACAATGGATGACCTTTCAGCAGCAGTGTAAGCGTAATTTCCAGGGTATTCCACCACACCTTCTTGTTTGAGTTGGTCAGGATGTTGGACTCTCTGTGCTCTTTCACCAGGTGTATAGCCTTCCTTTTGAGGATAATCCATGCTTCCTTCTGGTCTCAGGTGGTCTGGATGTTTGACCACTGAAGCTCTTTCCCCTGGACCATATTTTTGCTTCTCTGGATATTCAACTGACCCTTCAGATCTCAAGTTGTCAATTTGCTGAACTTTGGTTACTCTTTCCCCAGCTGTGTATTGTTCCTTCTTGGAGAACTCCATACTTCCTTCCATTTTCAGGTTGTCTGCATGTTTAACAATGGATGTTCTTTCAGTGGAAGTGTAGGCAGTCTTGCCTGGGTACTCTGTGACCCCTTCTTGCCTGAGTTGATCAGGATGTAGCACTCTTTGCGCTCTTTCTCCAGGCTTGTAGCCTTCTCTTTCAGGGTACACCATCTGTCCTTCTGGTTTAAGGTGGTCTGGGTGCTTTACCACTGGTGCTCTGTCTCCTGGTCCATAACCAGCTTTGTCTGGATAGTCCATGGCCCCCTCTGACTTGAGATTGTCTGAATGAAGGACCTTTGTTGCTCTTTCTCCAGGCAAAGCTGCTTCTCTTTCAGGATATACCATGTCACCCTCTAGCCTCAGGTTGTCTGCTTGTTTCACCATTGATGCTCTTGTGCCA